GGAACAAACTAGAGTGAACCTTCAATGGAAAGGTGGACAGCTTGAGTGTCCCAATGGTTCAAACAAAAACTCAAATTCTAGAGTCAGAATTTACTTTGTTACCAAAACTGACCAGTATTAAACTTATCTAGTTATATTATCTAATTCTTGAGTTCCTTACCAATTTAATTACTCCTTGTACTCGAGTGCATCAACATGTGAGTCCCTAATTTAATTTTCTCGAGTGTGTTTTATGATTGTTATGTTGAGATAAGGCGAGTTTTAGGTTGATCCATCTGAAATGGATCAAAGTTCCACTGTCCAATAAAAAGTAACTTAACGGATTGTTCCGACCCTGTTTTTAACGGCGTTCGTGTATTTTGGGTATTTTGAGACCTAAGTATGGGAACGTTCTTGTTTTCTAGAGTGGGGGGATATTTTGGTAGTAGCCTCTAAGCTGTAACGGGTTCTAGTCTCATGTCGCAAGCGAACCGAATTGGCTCCGACCGTTCTTGAGGTAGAAAAACACAAGAGATAGTGTCCCTGACTCTTGAGCCAATGGTTATAGGGCCTATTTTTCTTAAGCCTCATATGTGACTGAAGTAGGCGACTGTTACATCGTTGCAATTCGGACTGCTTCCTTTGAAATTTTATTCATCAATATTGCTGCATCTTCACGAAAATCTGTCCGTATTGTTGTATTCGCGACAATCGTCGTTCTGATTTTCTCTCATTTTCAGTTGTAGCGGAATTTCAAGCTCGTGACATTTCTTCATTTCAGAACGGATTTTTAAACTTATTTCGTCACTTCGAATTGACCTTTCCTAATTGGTTAAATCGTACGATTGGTACAGTTAGTTTACCAAAGCTGTCAATCTCTCCCAGTCTACGGTTACAATAAAATTTCGCAGTTTTCGTGCATTTTGGCGTCATTCTGGTCGAATGTCACAATGTCTTGATGGGCATGCTTTTGCTAGATAGAACTTCAACCAAATAAAAAAACGAAACGTTTGGTTGATCTAGGTTTTCGACTTTTGTTTGTTTTATTTTTGGTGTTACCTTTGTGTTGACAATGTCTTCGCTCTGTGTTGGCTGTTGGGTTCGCATACAACACCAGTTTCATTGTTTTTTAGAGCCAATGGCTGACGAAGCAGACCAGCAACTAATTTCGTGTAAACTCGAATGTCAAAAATGTGGATTAATCATATTGAAACCGAATGTTGCAAAGAGTCGGAAGTTAGATGGTTTTTTGTTACCCGATCATACAGGCGAGCCTATTTTGACTGAAGAATTTGCGATGGTTGATGACATTTACGCTTTCGAGAACATAGGTTTCTTGAGGCCAGTCGATGACAAAAAGGTTGGGCCACTTTAAATCTAGACGTTATTTGGCTAGATGTGTTTTCTTGTAGCTTTGGTATGAAGGTCCGAAATTAAATTAGGTTGGGTACTGAACATTTTCAAGTTATTTTTTGTCAATTCTTGCAATGAATTGCCTGTTTTTCGAGTAGATAATAAATCAGCGTTTGAAATCAGTGTTTCTTTTTTTTTTTCGAAACTTTGCATGTGCAAAAATTTTAGCTCATGATATGTGTGTGGGCGTTGACAGCATTTTTTGTTTATTTTTTTTTTGGAAAGTTGTTTTTGGCTCTATTATTTTATCGCGTAAAGTAATTTTTGAATGAAATCATTTTCATTTGCTTAGCTCGTTTTTAATGAACGAAGTAAACTTTATTTATTTAGTTCGAGATGTTTTTTTCTGATTGAGATTTTTTTTGACTACGCTCGAATTCGATGTTTCATGGCTTTACGTTGATTTTTTCTTAAATTTTAAGTGGAAGTTATCTGCTGAAACGAAGGTAACTTACGCTTTCCAATAAAGGTACAAATGAAGGTTCATAATTGACTCTAAACGTTATGACCCAAAAATGACAAAACGTCTATTCGAATTAAGCAAAAGAGACACAAGGATAAATGACAAGAAAGTTTTGATAAAGAAAGCGAATCTAATCTCGATGGAAGAAAACCTTTTTTCGCAATCAGAGCTGCAACAGACAGTTTCCAATCATTCAAAAATAAACTGGACAGTTATTGGAAGAAAAATTGATTTAATATGAGACGAGCTAAATGAAAAGTAATACACAATTAGCTGACCAAAAGAGGCGGTACCATCGCCTAAAGATCAGAACTAAACTGAAATGAACTGAAAATATTATGAGAAAATTGTTGATCAAAGAGGATTTCTTGAAATTTAAAGAGCTTCAGCGTGATGCTTTTTCGATAGTTGAGAAAAGTTTAAAATGTCAACTTTTTGTTTCACTTCATTGTCCATTGGCACTTAAATTGTCAATTGACCTATCGGGAATTGGAAATGCATGGATCAAAATTAAATAAATTTATAACGATAGCAGTAGAAGTTTACCAAAGAAATAAAAACAAACACTACAAGTGTTAGATTAGGCAATGCGTCGGCGCTGCAAGTTGAGCACTAGAACAGCATCGGCGCTTCAAGCTCTGTTCAAGTCATATGAAGGTGCAAGAAAATAGGTTCGAAATAAACTCGACCAGGTTGTTGAATGAATGGACAAACATGTACACAGTCTAAAACTGGAAGAAGAAAGACGAGTACGTCAATTGGGGGTAAAAATAGGAGAATTGCTGTGTTCCGAATGCTCGTTACCGATATTTAAATGCAAAAAATATCATCGATTGGAATGCAGTTTAGACCCTGTTTGAAAAAGTGTGAATGTTTGAAAGACCCTGTTTGAAAAAGCCGGGCCAATAAAAACAATCTGTTTGGACGAGTTAGCGAGAAAAGAGCTAAGAGCTTCCAAGTTCTAGGACAAGGTAACCATGCAAGAGCGTAGGAAAAGGTAACACCCATCTGAGCATCTAAGTCCTTGGTAACTGAGCTGTACTTTCGAAACGAGTATTTGCTGAAAATTTGAACTGTATACGAAAAAGATGAAGACAGGACTAGCAAATTGACAAAACCGTATTGCATACATGACGGGACATTTCTCGGATTGCTATGGCTCAATAAATTGAAAACACGTCTTTAAACTAGAACAAGAAGAATTTAGTAAGTCAATGATATCATCAGTGAAAATGAAGTGTGACAACGGTCCCAATACACTTCGATGCGGAACTCGGCTTCTAACAAGGTGAAAGGTCGGATGGCCGTTCATGGGAATTCTCTCTCATAGCGATTTTGAGGAAGTCAGAAGATTGTCAAAGTGTTAGTCAAGTCCGGAACTAATAAATTTTTAAAAGAGAAAAGAAAGCTCAATTTAAATCTTATTAAGCATCCGCAATCATATTATTACAGCAAGTAACTTCCACTAGGGAATTTTTTCTTTCAGCAAACAAGTTTTCTTTAGTCAAACAGCTCAATACTTTTTATTTGAACTGGCTTGATTGGCCAAATGCTGATCAAGTAGAGTGAGTTTCCAGCATGTCTAAGTTATGTTCGTTTCCTACCGGAAGCCAATTCCGAATTATCATTTGTCTTTTATTATTTTGCATACTTTTCAACGCATGGATTTTGTTCTGATTTGAGCAGATTTCACTTTAATTAAATGCCGCTGCCTAGTTTATAAAGTTACTAACTGTAATTAGTTAATTTCTTAATTATTGTTGCTTCGTTTTTTTTTCGCTGAAATGTTTCAGGCTTCGGTTTTTATCAAATAAGTCACCTTTTATTGCGTCGGTTGCCAGGCAAAATAGAATCTTATGCTCTAATGTGTTTCAGTTGGCGCGTATAAACTACCGAATTCTAATTTTGTATTGCTCAAATTTGTTATACTTTTAAAATTTTCGACTCAACTGGGTCTTTCCAAGTCATGTCGGCTTATTATCGCCCCAATTTTTTTATGATGTTTGTTTTTGGCTAAACAGGCCTCTACCCAATCTTGTCGCCTTAGTTTCCTTTTGCTAATTGGCTCTGAATGCTAATTTGATGCTGCGATGTTGCTCCTCCTTTTCTTCAAATTCAAAGTCGTTCTGGACAAATATGTGAAATTTTTATCAATGTTTCCGATTTTACTTGAAAGTTATTTTTCATCCACTTAGTGGCTTTTGTCCCATTCTCTATCAACAATCATGCAATGCTTTTTTGTCGTATCACATTTATCATGTCACGATGATGTTGTATCACAAGTGACATGTGTTACAACCTGTATTTTGGTAATTTTCATATAGCAAAACTAATTTATATATGACCGATGTCCTTTACAGGAGCCTTGCTGCTGTTCGTTGTTTTTCTCTAAATCGAAAAATACTGTTACCAAAAAGGATTTTCCAAATAATAAGAGCATATATTTTGGAAGTGCAGAAAAGTACGATAGTTTTTCCGTTTACTTTTGAAATTTTGCAAAGATTTCTCTACAAAGGTTTCAAATTTTAGTTTTGTGTTTTAGTTTTTGGCTTGTGCTGATTGCGATTACGGACCTCTTGGTTTTCACTATCTGACAAACCCAAAAGAAATTTTTCTGGCTCTGGAGCGAGTCAAACAATGTGAAGTTCAGTAGAAGAGTCAATTACTTATTTCAATTTGTACCTATCTATTCAAATTTATTGTTTTGGACTGTATTTAATTGTCATGCTATTTGCAAGTAAAATTATTCAAAGATTTGTATTTGAGCAAATAAAAATTCAAATGAACGAAGTTTGTCTTTTCATTAAGTTCTTGCATTCGGGATAACGATTCGGTAAATTTCTTTTGGTTCAGTTTTTTAGCTTGGATAGAACAGGAGCGGCAATTCGTCTTTCGACTCAACGTCATGTCAATAATAAAATTGTTGAGAGGTCCTTTTTCTTGATTTAAAGTCGCTCTACCAAAACCGTGCTCCTATCGCCCTAGAAATCATACATGAGAAAGGCAAAAATAACCTTAGAAGATGGCAACTAGACCATGCGATTTTGAAAGTTCCAATCTCAGCAGTTATATCAGATGCTGCTACTACAGCAGCTAATTGGAGGGACAATTATCTGTTATCAATTTTCAAGCCAGAGTGTTTTCAGATTGTAAGTATAATGAATATATCATCTATGCTGACATGGTTAAACATCTGTTTGATTTGTATATCGGGATCATATCAATCAACATGCCCCGGTAAGTGGATCATATGATTGCAAACATAGTAAGTTTGAATGACACTATTGCGACATAGTTTCAAAACAGATTATCCGTATTTGCATCAAAACATTTCGAACCAGAACGTTGTGATCCCGGAAATCTTGTTTAGTTTGGTTTTCCGCTTAAAAAATTTTAACAAAGTCGTTTATTACCGGTTTTGCAATCGGATACGTTCTTGAATTTTCAATTTTTCGAATAACATTGTTTTGAGTTTTAATAACGTTTTTCTCGTTTTTTTATCAATACAACTCGTTTTTATTTTTGATTGTTCGATCGGCTGTTATTATGGCGTGCTTTTTGTCGGAGATAAAAAAAGTTCATTAGTTTTTGCACATTTTTTGTTATTTCTTTTTTGAGTTTTTTGACCTTTGTATTTATGTTTTTTTTCTCATTGATTTAACCCATATTGATTAAAGGTAGACATTTCATTTGAGAAACGGGGGCTAAGGAAGCCTGAGTTCCTATCATATCAGAACTAAATCAGCTTAAAGATATCGGTTATTTTGTTCAAAATTGCTGGACAAATTGGTTGTGTTAGTGTCAACTTGAGCTGCTGTTCCTGATACACTTGTCTTCCTTAAGATTTACGTAGTTTCAATGTGTTGAAACAGTAACGAAATAACCTTCCAGTTTGTTCGTTGTCAATTTTTTGGTAACGAACAACCTAATCTACTTAGTTTTTTTTTTCACGTCCAGATAATTTTGACTCATTCTTTTTAAAAAATGGTTCAATGACACGACACGGTTTTCTCAAGTTTTTTTCTCAATAGTTGTTAAAGTTCGTTTTTCCGATGGAGTTTTTGTTCAGTTTTCTTTTTCTATAACCTTGTTTTTGTCTGATCGGAGTTTCTTGTTTTAGGATTTAAAATCGACGTTTGTTTTCGGCTTCAGAATTTTTTTTATGATTGTTACTAGACATGGTCTCTTTCTTGTTTTTTTTCACATCTTTGTTTAATTCGAGGTTTTTTGAGTAAGTTTTTGTTTAAACAAGAAGAGCAAATTTAAGATTCTGATTTCTTTCGTAATTGTTTTTGAGTTTCATCATTTTCTAAAGTTTGGCGTTGTTAGAAACGGTTTGAATTTCTTCAGTTGAAGTTTGTTGTTTGTTTAATCTTATTTCTTTTGGTTTTTACAAAATAATATAAAATTGGTTGGTAATTGTATAACTTTGTCTTATCTGAAAATATCATATTTTTTTCATCTGTGTGTTTTTTACAAATGGTTTCATCATGTGCATGCTGCATAGCAGGCAGGGTTCATAATTTTAGTTGAGGTCCAATTGATGTTTTGGCTTGTTTACTTTTATAATATGTAAAATGTTTTGCAACAGTTTTCCAATCTGGTTTTTGAAAACTTTTTTCTGGACATGAATTTTTTCCCATCGCAATTGGTGCGAAGCGCTGCTTCGCCTCTGTGTAAAAAAAACAGAAATTAAGATAACGCGCAAATTGATACTTTTGTTTCAGATCGCCTAATTTTGAAGGAGCCCAATCAAGATTATAGTAGCTACCAAATATACGAGTTTCCAGGCCTCGTAAGAAACCCTCTTTGGACGTTCACCAGTGTATCTGTCAACATTTCGTGCCTGAAAAATGGACAGGTTACAGATGTTCACTATTTTGTTGCTGACTGTAATGAAACTGCTTGTGAGAAATACGAAAGGCAGTCTTGGCTGTATTCGGAATCCAAAAATGGAACAATAGTTCAAATGAGTCCTTTTTCGAAGACTTTGATTGGCATTTCCCCCGAGAGGAGCGGATCGTCTAACTGTTTTCTGCGATTGAGCGTCAAAAGTAAGTATAATATGAACATCACGATCTTTGCAATTCAGCCTTTCCACCTCACACTTCAACGATTGATCAGATGCTTCATTTTCTAATGATTTGCTTTTTGTAGCATAAGTTGTTTTCGTATTTGTTGTTTGGGTTTGGATTAATTTAATAATTTGAGTACTGTTTGTTGCTTTCAGAAGTGGAGGTTTTCTATGTGGCCGTTTTGTTTGCGTCACTACTTCTATTCTTCTTGGCACCCTTCCTTAGCAGGTAACGTTCTTCATTTTTTGCAGCTGACGAATCTATCCATCATGTACTTTTTAAACTTCCTGCCAAATGCTCTATGGATGCAATGTCTAGACAGATTGTCTTGGAGTCTTGATAATCGTTTTCAATTTCGAGATTTAAATTACTGCCAATTTTGAAAGGGGTTTTTCAAAATCTTTGTTATAACAATTTCAAGATTTTTCCATTCTAGCTTCAACAGCAAATTATAAACCCCCTTATATGAAAACAGTGTGTTGGGTGTGTTAATTTTGATCACTTGACATCGAGTCGTCGAAAAGATATTCCAATAAAGTTTTTTTCTTGATAGCTTGCTTTAGAAAACTGTGCATGAATCAGTTCAAGCTATCAAACAACTCAGTATTTGAATGACGAGGACATTGACAGAAGATAGGAAAAACTGTAGTCGATCCTTGTTTAGCGAAAAATGTGCAAATTTAACAATACATCAAAATGCCAAAATCCATTGCTTAATAGCTCGCTTCAAAGATATTGCGAAACGATTATGTCAATAGGAACAATTCGAAATAGCTCGAATTGTTTACTTCAGAAGTCTAACTTCTTGCGAACCAGAGTTAGCTGTCAAAATTACTTGAAACACTTCAAAGTTTTTACATTACCGATCTTGCGAGCCTAGTGTATTAGTACGAACCTTCTTGTTTTCTAACCTAACTCGCAAAAAAGTGTGCACAAAAAGTGTTCACTTATTTGGTGGCACTTTTGCTATAATCACAATCTGTAGCATTGGAAATTTCTTAGCATCTGTTCTCTGCTTTTTTGTGGCTAGTGTTTGTGATTTATTAAGTGTCCGTGGCTAGTGCGTGAGACTCATCTCTCATAAATCTCTCATTATACACTCATAAAGGTCGTAGATCGAATCCATCCGAGTCGTAGCCGAGCTGCTTTTTGTCGTTTTTTCGCTAGTGTTTGCGAAGCGAAGCTTAGCCTCTGTGTAAAACTTACTTTAAAAATAACTTTCATTTTTCTGCGAACCATTTTTGTGCGATACCATTCATATCAGTAAACAACTTGAATTGATTCAAGTGCATTTTTTTGATAGCTTGCTTAAGAAACCTTCATTTTGTTGCGCATCACTGTAGGCGTTGAAAACAAAATGGCTTGAGTTGGTTCGCAAAATTCGATATTTTGAAGTAAGCTGTTAAAGCAGTGGAAACTTCAACACTTGAAATTGCTCGTATAGATTGCAATGGTTTTGGAATTTCTGTGAAGCAACGTTTTACGCGATGGCGCAAAAAAATTCAGTTATTTTGCTGCCTTGTTTGGTTAAGCAAGCTAGAGAAATTTAACAGTCCAATTTTTCTTGCAATTGATGCAATTTTGGAAAATTTGAAGTTTTTGAAGCCACTCATTAACATCAAATCGAAGCTACTCAAGCGATGAAACTTTGAAAAAATTCAACGTGTTTTCAACGCTCAAGTTTGATCATATGAGTAGCTTGCATGTTGCATCAGATTTGTTTGTAAATGAATGCAGGCTTTCTGAACTACATGATGTTCCCTAGTTGCATCACCTGCTTCGAACGCTAGATTTCTTTAGTTTCCTTAAAAACAACTTTTTTGCGATTTGATTCAAGCCAACAAAACAATCTGGGAAGGTCTTTTGTTTAGTGGCTGATTTCTTTGCTGTATAAATTTCCTTTTAAAACTACTTAAATTTTTGCGAACCAATTCAAGACATTAATGTAAATTGAAATAGATCCAATCAAAGCACTGTAGACTTTCCTATCATTTAATTGCATCGTTGAGGCAGCTCTGTTGTGGCGGTTAAGCCAAATGTCTAGACATGTTTCTTCTAAGTTAGGAAGTATTTTATTTTCGTATTGCCTAATGGACATTTGCTATTATTGGAAATGGCGATTGTTTTTTATAGCGATTCCTGTTCCAGCAATACCTTTGAAATGCAACAAGTAGTATTGTATCGTGTCCCGGATCCTAAGGGGGGGGGGGGTCCTCACGTAAAGCAAAATCCTAGGAAAGGGGTCCTTAATTTTTTGGAGGACCCCTATCCTAGGATTTTGTAAATGATCGCAAGTTCCCACCCCTAAAGTAAAAGACCCCCTCCTTAGGATCTTGTTAAGCTGAGCTCAACAACCGGGACGCGATACAATAATTCATTCTAATTCCTTTTAAAGCGGTCCCTTTTCCCGCGATAATTAAAATTAATCGTCCTAATTCCTGAACTTTTCTTTTTCGTCCTAGTTTCATGTGGATATCATTTCCTGGCTTTTTCTTTTCAAAGGTTTGTCATGCTATTAAAGTTTGTTATTGAAAACAAGCCTAAGGATTTTACACATTTGTTTGAATTAACACTTGGTTTGCGTCTACTAGTTTATTTGCCTGAAGCTATTTATGTTAAAACAGTGATTGAGCTCAATACGAGTATTTTATTAGTTGTAAATTGGTAAAAACCAAAACATATACAAGTCGAAGTATAAAAAGGACGAACAGTAAAAATCATCTGAAAATACATGTTTCAGACTTTAATGTTTATTGTTTTGGTTTTCTTTGCGCTGTTTTTTAGATGGTCGTTCTTCTGAAGCTTCAGATAAAATAAATGGGTTTTTTATAGGGGGACGTTCACGGACTCGGCTACTAGAAGCTTCTTCTTCTTCTTGCAGCTCTGCTTCTGAGTAGGGCCGCTGTAAAAATCCCCAATCCGGAAGTGTAAAATCGGGAGAACTGTTATCAGTTTCATTGTATGAGTTGGCCCACTCGGTGTCCATGTAAATGTCTTCTAGAAAAGCATTTTCTTCAGCGGCTTTATGGCCAAAGGGCACTGTCGAAATTCCGTCGAAAAGTAGAAAACGTTTTGAGTCGAATGGTGATAATGCAAGTTTTTTTTGTTTCACTGTCATATTGGTGTGACCTTTCGAAACTATATTATAGTTGTACACTCTCATTGTTTTTCCAGTGAATAATGTGTCCCTGAAGGTGTGGTGGACCAGTTCTCTCTGTGCACTCCGTTTAATTCCTTTGGCACTCAATTTTTGAGTGCCTTCTAAACAGAAGCAAAATTATTATTCTTTTCTACAACGTAGGGGATAGCTTCATTTCACTTCGGCAACTCAATTTATACCGAACAAAATTTGATTCATTTTACCAAAAAAGAGCAGAAGACTCTAAATTATGATTAAAAAAGAGGAAAAAAGAGGGAATATGTTGTCAGATAAATCAACGTTTAGGCAACATTGTATAATGTTGCCTAAATCAGCTAAATGCCCATAGTTTAATGCAACAAATTAAGGGGTGTAGGTAGGTTGGTGGTGGTAATTTTGTTCTGTAAAAGGTAGGAATGGGGGGTGGAAGGGTGGCTTAAATTTTATTTACCATTAAGGACGACCGAATATAGTTTCGGTTTTAGGGCGATGAATTCTCTGATCGGCTTCCCACCAGTCTCGTCTTTGAACTTCAGCACAACTTTCTTGTTGGTATCCTCGAACAAGAAATGGTCCTTATCGTAATTTGAAAAGTCGAAATCAGCTTTCATTTTCTCCAAGTCTCGGTAAACGTCATCAGTTTTTATAGCGTAAATAAAACTATCCGTGTCGGAGTAAAGGAGTTCCAAGTTTAGATTTGGTTTCATTTTTTGATAATGAAACTGAAACATGAAACGCTTGGCGAGGTCTAGGATGGTCGCACCAACTATCATAGGTTTATCCCACAATATTTTTGTTACTGAAAAGCTAATTGTGGCTAATTGATCGTCAATGATTTGAAAGCTTTTCATTGTGCTCAGAGCTGTTTTTTGTAAAAGTTCTCTCTCATTCCTTACAATCTCCAGCTTCTTTCTTCCTAACTTAGACTCCATTGTCTTACCGAAAGCTGAATTAACAATTAGCTTGTAGAAGTTCTCCTGGAATTTATTTATCGCGGCTTTTCGTAGGCGGGTGTTGAGGTCGACAAAGGGTGCCATCCAGTGACTTTGGCGGAACTGAAGAACTTTTCCGAGGTGAGTTATTTTCATTCCCAGCTCATGGTACAGTTTTAGGGTAAGGTAGTGCAAAACATAACCTTCTTTAGGATGCAAGGTCTGTAGAAGCTTTGGCACTTTTGGCAGTGTGGTGATTCCCAATTTTCCCAACATGTCGACTTGCTCGTTGCTCATTGCACCGATGTCCACTACTTCACGAGAGGGGGCAAGGGGGTAATCAGCAAAGAAGTCGTGAAGCTCTTCGGGTATGGTTAAATTGACTTCAACTATATAACCCCACTCTGAGGTTTCGCTGGTGAGCAGTATGTCTGCCAGACTTTTTTCAACTATTGAAAAATCGTTTAATGGCAAAGGGCAGTGTTTCATTATCCCCCCGTACAAATTGTTTGCATCAATATTGAGGATGTAGCTTGATGGTTCTGAGGGCAAAAAATCGTCGAGGTATTTATTGTTTGCTTTGTAAAATCGGCGCGCATAGACCGACGACATGCCTCCTCGTATCATTCGCTGCACAAGGTCTAGATGTTCACGGTCCGTTAAGAGTTTCAGTTCGGGCTTGCAAACTTTTAGAAAGGCGTCACCGGAAAGGTTACTTGCCGTGAAGTAACAGGCGCAATCCAGCCCGTATGTTTGATAGCAAACTTCCCGAAAAGCTTCGAAAACGGAAGCAAGCAATAGCACATCTGTAGTCAAGTACAAGTCTTGGTAATCACCAAGTGAGCCACACTTCAGTTCGGTGAAAACTTTAAGGGCATGATTGTACTCGCTTCTTGAAACACTCACATCCCCTCCTGTTGAACTATTTTTCCACATTGCTCGTGGGGGAAGGCGAGTTTCTCGGAATTTTTCGAATGAGTTGAAGTATGAGTAGGGGTAATGCCCCTTCTGTTTCAACAGACTGACTTTTTCACGTGAGTGGCCGAGTTTTTCAAAATAGTTCTCCAGCAGAAAAAACTTTTCGTTGGGCAAATTATCGACAAGTTTTGCCAACGATGCTAGCATGAACCTATACGAATCGATGAATCTCAGATTTT